AAATTTTATATAAATATAAAATATAAAATTTATACATAAATTGACTTATTTTCAAATAATTATATCACTTAGATATCATGACATAAATTTTATATTAATATAATATATAAATTATAAAATTCATGTGCAAATTAATGACTCACTAACTAGTGACCATAGCCACTGGGCCTGGGCCGGGTCCGGGAGCGTGGGGATGAGGGGATCCAATAATGTAGTGATACCACGTGACAACTGACAAGGATTTCCGGTTACATTCACAATTCACGTGGACGAGGGCAAAAAAATAAAAGCTTCCAATCACAATATCACACGTGGCACCAATCCCTCAGCGATCGAGATCTTCATCCGACGGCTATAATTAGAAGGAAAAGCCGGTACAATTAACGTGGGACGGGAGACAAAGCCAACGACAAACAGGTAAAATTCAAAGTCCTGCGGCAGTTTCTTCTTCGGCACTCTCTCTTCCGTAGAACCAAGAAGACGACGAAGAGGACCGGAGAAGATGGCTCTTGGGATCAAAGCGTTGCCGTTCACGTTTTTCGCGCACCTGCTCGCCATCGCCGGCGCCGTTATGGTCCTTGTTTGGTGCATACACTTTAGAGGCGGTTTAGCCTGGGAAGCTTCAAACAAGAGTCTCATCTTCAATGTAAGTTTGATTCCATATTTTCTCTTCTCCTTAGCTCCAGTTTATCTTTGTCTTTTGGGGCTTCAAAAGATTTTCGCCTGGTTTCATTCAATTATCCTAAAATTTAATTAATTTCCTGTTTGGTTTCATTTAATTAATTGGGAATTGAATGCTATTTTTTTGGTTAGGTTAGCTTTCACTTTTAGCAATGAAGAGGATTTGTTCTTAGTTCTGAAGAGTCAATTCCCTTAAGTAATATTGGCATTTTTTTTTTTTTGAATTATTCTTTTGTTCTCTTGTTCTTGTCATTGATGTAGAACTGGATACCATACATAAATTAAATGACTAGCGTACTAGCAAGTAGTTGTGTGGAACAAATAAAAAATCACTAGATGCGTGGAATATAATGTAGGTGCTACCTGAGTTCGAACTATCATGTGGTGACTTCATGATTTTTCAATTTTCTGTTTATATATATGGTCACTTGCAGAGGGCTAATTCGATTACAGGATTCTTCATAAGGAGTTACCCTTGATTGTTTCTTAATGGTGAAGCAAGCAATATTCTATTTGAGCAACCGGAAATGATAAGATGTTACAGTAGAAACAGAACCCAAAACCTTGGGTTTTACGTTATATTATTTCTGAAGTCTATATATTGTCATTGCAGCATTGCCAGTGTATGTGTATCTGTTCTACTATATTATTTGTGGCGAATTTCGATGTTGCGTACCCAAATTAAAATGGGGGGAAATGCATTATGCATATTACTAAACTAAATGATAATTTACCTCGCTTTTTGCCCACCTAACTCTCTCCTTAGTCCTCACCATCTACCGTTTTTCATCATACCACGCATCTGCCTCAACCTTCCCAATGGGAAATTTGAGGTATTAATTTATCCCTTTTAAATTTAGGAGAAAAAGTCAAGCAATTTCCTTTTACTTATGTAGCTATGTAGCTATGTACCTGTAATTAAAATATTTGGAGATAGTTTGAACCCATGGGAATTGGGTACTGTTTTAACACATTTCTCCTTATTTATTTTTTTTGGGGACAGATTCATCCTGTACTGATGCTAATTGGCTTAATTATCATAGGAGGTGAAGGTAATTTAGACAGGTTTTCGACATTGTTTATAGTAATCATCTTTTATTTCATATTAACATTATGAGTCATTGCCATATACATTAATGAATCTTTTCTAAAAAAAATGCAGCTATTATTAGTTACAAATCAGTCCCTCTAAAGAAGGAAGTGAAGAAACTAATACATCTTGTTCTCCATGCTGTTGCACTGATACTGGGTATTATTGGTATATATGCCGCATTCAAGTACCACAACGAGAGTTCAATTCCCAATCTCTACAGTCTGCATTCTTGGCTTGGGATTGGGATCATTGTGCTCTATGGTATTCAGGTATATCACCATTTAAATCCAGAAGATTACATTCCAAATTTCATGTAATTTTCTTCCGGAGCTTGATTCTAAAACGAAAGAAAAATCTTGCAGTGGATATATGGTTTTGTAATATTCTTCTACCCTGGAGGATCAAACGGCCTGAGAGCAGACTCGCTTCCCTGGCACGTTGCATTCGGGATGTTCGTGTACGTGTTAGCAGTTGCCAATGCTGCCATAGGATTTCTGGAGAAGCTTACATTCCTTGAGAACTCAGGTCTTGCTAAATATGGTTCTGAGGCTTTCCTTGTGAATTTTACTGCTGTTATTACCATTCTGTATGGAGCCTTCGTAGTGTTATCAGTTGCTTCCCAAGGTAATTCAGAAGATGACTACAGCTATTCGGCTATATAAAATAAAAATGCCTTAAAATGTACCACGTTATTGTACTTTTTATGGGATTCTTATGAAAGCTAAGATCTCCATTGTTGTATTGCCATAATCCAATTTTTGGTAAAAATGAAATTGTAATCTACAACAGTGGATTATTATGTTGTCTAGACTTTATCCTCCAGGGGTAGCTTCTGAATTTGATAGTTTTTATTAATTTCTAAATTTTTTTATGGTTATATTATATAAATTCTTGATTCAACATTTCTACGAAAACTTTACTTAATGACTAGTATTTTTACAGCAGCTACAAGTATAAAAAACAAGCAAAAACTCAGCAGAGTTTCATTGAAAAAGTTTTCTTACCAATTAAAATGCAAACTAAACACACAAAATTCACATCACTTTCAAAAGAAGGAAAAAAAAAAAATGAAAACTTTATGAGAAAACATTACAAACAACTTTTCAGGACAACTTTCCGAGTAGTTTCCACAACCAAACAACCCTTTAAGATGGAAAAAGATTGTTTTGAATCATTTGGTTTTTTTTTTTCTATTAATATGATGAATTAAATTAAGAGAATGTTATAATATAGTTTGTTCTAGGCAAATTGCACCAGTTTCAACTATTAATAGAGGGATGAGTCCCTGATGTTAGGGATCAACCCCTCTATTAATAGTTAAGTGAAGTAAGATTTTTTTTGTTAAAATAGATTAAATTAAATCTTCAATTGTCTTTCACAGACCCCCATGTGACCTAAGTGGCCATGCTACCCTTGGGCAGCAGGAGGTCTGCATCCCCTTTAGCGGTTCGAACCTCTT